GGTTAGGTTTTGAAAATTACAACAGCTTCCCCCAACCCAGAACCCGTCTAGGGAGGTTTAAAGTAGGAAGACTGAGGATGCGTGCACGGGCCCACGCTTGTCAGACTATACCACATCGTGTGAGATTAGCTCCGGTCTAGGAGCTAATCTCACACGATGTGGTATAGTCTGACAAGCGTCGTGTGAGATTATCTCCGGTCTAGGAGCTGGGCCTGTCTAAGCATTGGGCCTAAAAAGTGAAAGTTAGGTTTATCACCGCTAGGTCTGTGACGGGTAGGTTTAGGCTGTGGTTTAGTTCAGCTTTAGATTTAGCAGTACTCGTGTTGAACCGGCTAGGTTTCAAATCGCTGAGGTTATGGCGGTTAGGTTTAGGGCGTGGCTTGGTCCAGCACTATAATTAGATCTGAGTAGATGTGAGAACACGAAGTTCTTGCCGGAACTTGTTCCAGATCGGCGAACCAGACCGCAACTCGAAAGTCGCAGCCCGATAATTCCAACCCAGCATCGTGCTCTGCCAAAAAAAATTTAAGCCAAATTGCCATGTTTCAAAGACGATGGATGTCATAGTTAGATTACAATCGCTGTGTCTGTGACGGGTAGGTTTAGAGTGTGGTTTGGTTCAGCTTTAGATTTAGCGGTACCCGAGTTGAACCGGCTAGGTTTCTAGTCGCTGAGGTTATGGCAGTTAGGTTGAGAGCGTGGTTTGATCTAGGACTAAAATTAGATCCGAGTAGATGTGAGAACACAAAGTTCTTGACGGAACTTGTTCCAGATCGGCGAACCAGACCGCCACTCGAAAGTCACAGTCCGATAATCCCGACCCAGCATCGTGCTCTGCCAAGAAGTTTTGTTTAAGCCAAATTGCCACGTTTCAAAGACGATGGATGTCATAGTTAGATTACAATCGCTGGGTCTGTGACAGGTAGGTTTAGAGCGTGGTTTGGTTCAGCTTTAGATTTAGCGGTACCCGAGTTGAACCGGCTAGGTTTCTAGTCGCTGAGGTTATGGCGGTTAGGTTTAGAGCGTGGTTTGGTCTAGGACTACAGTTAGATCTGAGTAGATGTGAGAACACGAAGTTCTTGACGGAACTTGCTCCAGATCGGCGAACCAGACCGCAACTCGAAAGTCGCAGTCTGATAATCCCGACCCAGCATCGTGCTCTGCCAAGAAGTCTTGTTTCAGTCAAATTGCCACGTTTCAAATACGATATTTGTTATAGGAAGGCATTTTTTGCCATTATTGTTGTTTCCTAATCCCTCAGATCAGTTAGATTGAGAGAAATGTTCAAGACAACCTCTTCAGTAGTGTACCTCAGGTTCATTGGGTGTTTCGGCCTTTAACCACTATACACCCTCACGCTGAGGCCGGCTCGCTTGGGCGATCATCCCCAAGCGTGTGTCTTGTAGCCAATTGCTATTCGAGCTTGACCAGATACACAATTGCATGGTTGGGCTCTGGGTTGAGTTAATATGAGTTTTCAACTTAAACCGCTTAAATCATTGGTAGAGATGTTGATTTTGATTCTATTGATTTTAATTTATTTGGAGTGCACGTTAGAGCGATTAAAAAAATATTGCTGTACAGTAAACCAAAATAGGTGTGAAATATAAAAAAAAACTCACCCTTGAATGCTCCTAAAAGGTCAGAGGTCGAGACTGGCGGATGCAGAGCATCAAGCTTCTACCAGACCTTCCTCCTAGAAGTCACGACAAACCAATCCGACATTACACTCACAGAAGAATAACCGCTGGATGTGATGGCTTCTGAAATGGAAGAAAACTTGAAATTGCCTTCTATTTGTGTGCTTTCGCACACACTTTTACATGATGGTGAGTTCAAAATTATTTTTGAGATTAGACTCATCTTGTGCTCCTCCAAATATGTCGGACACGACTATATAGTTTTCTTAGATTTTCATCACAGATAAATAGCTGTTTTTAGCATTTAAAGTCAGCTTTTTTGACAGCCAATTAAATATGCGGATTCCTGCTCCAATGACCTTTCAAGGCTTATTTTTCTGGGGATTTAAGTGTATTTTTCTTCATTTAAAGCCTGTTTTCTGATGCCTGTCGCCCAATTATTCCATTATTAATATTAGCTTGCTTATGTTAGCGTGCTAATGCTAATATTAATCTTCTTATATTTAGGGTTAGGGTTAGGGATTACAGACCCAGAAGCCAGAACAAAGTCCAACTCCGGTTATGCACTGTCCTTCCACTTCAACTGACCGCTTCTGGCCTTGTTTCGATTAGGCCTCGTTCCCAAAAGCAGTCCACCTTTTTAATGAATCAGTGTTTTTCATAATCATTCAGTTGTTATGAATGTGTAATGATGACGATGATAAAAGTGTATCCGATTATAGCTATTTATAATGTATTATATACATTTTTTATATTTATTTTTTGTATACCTCTCTCATAGTATGTGATGTGTCTCATAGGGGTATGAAGGATAGGTGTGTATCCTATAGGGCTAGAAATGCTAGGTTTTAAATTTTGTGCGAGTGCCCCACTAAGGGGTAGGTGTTAGTGTGGTTGATGTTCAGCCTTAGTTATTTTATGGGGGTGTCCTACTAAGGGGTTACTTTGTGCGAGTACCCCACTAAGGGGTAGGTGTTAGTGGGGTTGATGTTCAGTCTTAGATCAAATATTAAATATAAAAGTACTCCTTGGAGTAAATATTCTTAATCATCATCATCATCATTTGTGTTTGTACGTCACCAGCAAAAGAAAGTGTCAACAAGGAGATCATGGGAAAGAAAA